TAGATACAACTGATGAGAAAAGTCAAAATAAAAATAAATAAATGATCGATTACTTAATAAAAGAGAAAGACAAATTGTGATATTCAAAATAATCCAACAGACTTCCGTGTTAACATTATCAGTAATATTGCTGATATGTATCTGTCTATATTTCTGAGATGAGGTATTATGTACACTACATTATTCGGACTATTGTCCTCATCTTTGTTGCCATATTTATTACAACGCTTCGGCCGTTGTACGCCCCGGCCTTCTTCAGGTGGTTGGAATGTCAAACTGAAGAGTAGGACAACAACACAGAAAACAGCCTGCCTGCCTTATGTGGAGGGGTATCAGAGAAAATACAAAGGATCTGCGGTCCATATAACACCTGACAAGCTTCAAAATCTGGACGACACTTCGCAGATATCTCTCCCGAGTAAGACCCCCCCCGCCATAGAGGAGAACATGACTAAAGACTGTGTGTACAGATGCGGGAAGAAATATAAAGGGGAGACAGGCCGCTCCTTTAAGGTAAGGCTTCAAGAACACCAGAAAGCTGTAACACGAGGGGAAGTGAAAAAATCAGGCGTGGCTGACCACATGTAAAGAGAAAAGGGAGATCACCACCCTCTGTGAGATTAGGTTGAAATCATAGACAAAGAACATCATTGGAAAATTCGTAAACTTAAGGAATCAGCACATATGCTAGGCCACAAAATCTCCTTAGCCGACCAAGCATAGAAATGAATACAATATGGGAACCAGTAATAAAGAGGACCAGAGAAAAGCGATAATAACAATGAAAATTGCAATATGAGCACTGGTAAAAAAATGGTTGCTGAAGACGTTAGGTTTATAATACCTAGAAATTTATACACAGGTGTCCTCAAAGACACATGACACAGTGGATAAAGGCGTTAGTTAGATCTAGTATTAGGTTGGTTCAAAAATAATGACGTAATAATGTCGTTCTTTGACGTATTTTTTAACGTCAAAAACGACATTATTACGTCATTGTAAATTTTTGCACCATTTATTATGAAAAAGGAAAACAAAGATTGTGAGTTCAATACCAAGTGGGTTAAGGCAATAAAAAGAACTTGGAGAGGGGCATTAGCAGGAGATAACTGATAACTGACATCCATTAAACATGGCATGTGGAACTAGAACAGTCTACCCCAGTGAGCGAAATAAAGGGTTCAGTTCGACCTTCCAACAGCATACAACGGCCGAAACGTTAAAATAAATATGGCGACAAAAATGAGGACAATAGTTCGAATAATGTAAATAGTGTTCCAACGACTTGTATAGGATTTCTTCTTAAAGTAGCGGTTAAAATTTTTGGCTGATATCGGGGATACTACTAAGTTGATATTTATAAGGACAACTACTGGGATTTGTTATGGCTAAACATTTGATAAGTTTTGAGATTGTGTTCGGTGAAACGGTGGGTGGTCGGGAAGAGGATATTCAATGTCTTCTAATGTTGAAAAGATAGAGACAAAAAGCTTTGCCTTATCTGACGAGGAAGATATGACCTCGGGGCCATTTATATTAGTGGGCACAGATGCTTTGTCTTTATTCATAATTTGGTTGGTGATCTTCCAGAACTCACGGGAATGCAATTTATTTTCAACCTTCGTCTAGATTTGCTTGTGAATAGCCAGACTTTGTATTTCCCAGATCTTTCTTGCAGCGATTGTGAGCGGTTCTAAATGCAGTGAGAGTCAAACTAGACAAACAAGTGAATAAAAACAATCTGCTGGAAACTACTAATATAAAGAATATTCAGAATAATTCCGGAACAGCTAGAGATATTCGTATGATAATCACAATATAAAATTGAATGGTTGAATATACTTGTTTGCTGAGTAAGCGAGGGTATGAGTGAAAGAGTGAGTGATTGTATAAGCGTCCGAGTGATTAAGTATATGTCAGCAGTTCATTATTCAGACTATTGTCCTCATCTTTATCACAACGTTTCGGCCGTTGTACGCTCCGGCCTTCTTCAGGTGGTTGGAATTTTGAACTGAACCCTTTATTTCGCTCACTGGGGTAGACTGTTCTAGTTCCACGTGCCATGTTTGATGGATGTCAGTTATCAGTTATCTCGTGTTAATTTCCTTCTGAAAGTTCTTCACTGCCTTAACCAGGTATTGAACTCACATTCTTTGGGTCCTGTCACTGGATCTAACCAACGCCCTTATCCACTGTGCCATGTGTCCTTGAGGATTTCTGGGTATTGTAAACCTAATGTCTTCAGCAACCATTTTTTACCAGTGCTCATATTGCAATTTTTGCTGTTATCATTACATGTTTTTACCAGAGCTCATATTGCAATTGTATAATTGAGCCAATGAGTGCGTGTATAAGTGAGCGAGTGAGTACGTGTATAAGTGAGCGAGGGAGTGCGTGTATAAGTGAGCGAGGTAGTGAGTTTATAAGTGAGCGAGGGAGTGAGTTTATAAGAGCGAGGGGGTGCGTGTATAAGTGAGCGAGTGAGTGTGTATATAAGTGAGCGAGGGAGTGCGTGTATAAGTGAGAGAGGGAGTGAGTTTATAAGTGAGCGAGGGAGTGAGTGTATAAGTGAGCGAGGGAGTGAGTTTATAAGTGAGCGAGTGTGTGCGTGTCTAAATGAGCGAGTGAGTGAGTGTATAAATGTTCGAGAGAGTGCGTGCCGAAGTGAGCATGGGAGTGAGTTTATAAGTGAGCGAGTGTTTGCATGTATAAATGAGCAAGTGTGTTAGTGAGTGAGTGTATAAGTGTGCGAGCGAGTGAGTGTATGTGAGCGAGAGTGTGCATGTATAAATGAGCGAGTGAGTGAGTGTGTAAGTGAGTTCGCGAGTGAGTGTATAGGTGATTAGCGAGTTAGTGTATGTGAGCGAGTGTGTGCGTTTAGAAATGAGTGAGTGAGTGTATAAGTGAGCGAATGAGTGAGTGTATAAGTGAGTGATACGTCTGTTTGGCCAAACAATATCTAAGGACTGCTACAATACTTTTACTAGAAACACCCTGTATTTGATTGCCTTTAACCCTAGAACACTAACCATGGGTATATAGTACCCAGCGCAAATTTTCCTGTTTTTAATTACAATTTTCAGTACCTGGTTTTCTTACCTAAATAATATATTTTTCAGTTCCTATTAATGTTAACCCAAAGTACAAAGTTTGAAGTGCCTGCATGTAAAATATTTCAAATAAAGATTTATATTTAATATTTTTTTTTGATATTTTCAAAATCGGGTATGATATACCCATGGTTAGTAGTGGTGTAACTTTAATTGATGGTTAGTGTTCTAGGGTTAACCCCAGTTTGCCATTGTGAGGACACTTTTATCGTTAATAATTTATCTGAGACTTGACGAACTCTCTTTTTGCTAATCACGAATTCAGAAACATTAACCATTAATATCTTGAAAACCTTCAATAAATACCGTATGCTGTTTTGCTTCGAAATCATCCACAATGATACACCTGCATGTCGGTATCAATAAAACTGGAATTATCTAAGCACAACTATTACTGGGATTTTCTTTTAAACGATTAAATAAAAGATGATAGGTCGCCAAAAATCAACTGCGAGTTCTTTAACAAGGAATCGTCTGCATTTCAGCGGCAGTATTTTTTTTACCGTAGAAAATAATTAAAATGAAGTTAAGGAAAGTTTTCAATCTTCAGTTTTTCACAAAATTTTTTATTCGCATAATTTCATAGTATCATTACTCAGTTATAAAAATATTGGGATGTATAAAAAATGATTCATCATCCACAAGACCGCGTAGACACTTTTGAAGACAAGCAAGTGAGGACTGAGCTGGTCCAACCCAGATATGGTAGTAATATCCCATTTTTGGTCTGATTTAGATCTTGTAAATGTAACAGGATATTAGAAGGAGTCAGATACAAACTGGAGTCGTACAATGAACCGATCATTTTTCCAGGCATATTGAGCAACGAACAACCCTCGAGTTGTATAATAACTAACGTATTATTGTAA